CACAACCGTCAATTTGTCGTGGTAATGGTTGGTGTAAGTGGTGTAGGTGGGTTTGGTAGCAGAAAACCCAATCTGGTCTTCAGACATTTCTTCTGGGTCGAAGTAGTCCCCAGTTGGTCGAAGGCCAGCAATTGCGGCCACATCGAAGAGGGTGGGCATAACCATTCCACAAGGCAAGTGGAAAGTATAGTGAGTATAGTCCCAAAATAGCAATGAAGCTACCAGCATGTCGGGACAGTAGTTTAGACTAGTTTTGGACAACATGACTAGGTCATAAATGCCCATGCCTTTCCAAATCGAAGCCTGGCGCTTCTCCATCTTGTTGAGCCAAGCGGTATATTCTGGTGTAAGACTAGGGCTAGATCGAAAAGCCCTAACCCCCCTGTTAAAAACCGAAGATCTATTTTCTCTTTTGCAGGATCTTCAGTATCATCTTTCGCCTTCTTTGAGCACCCAATGGGTTTGAGTGCCTCATGCGCGGGGAAGAAACCCTCAATTTTTATGGGGTCAGTAATGCATGTTGAAAGAGGGCCTGACATGGCGAAAACCTGGTTGGAATACCCAACAAGAATCAGCAGTTGAGAGCCATAGGTTTCGCGTTCAGTATCACCCATGGGTTCAGGAACCCTTCGCATTCCCATGGAATTAACTACCGGAGCGGTTGAGAAGATTTCTGGTCGAGCAGTCTTGGAGGGAATGCTAGTTCTTGGGGTATTGGGAACACGAGTACATGAAGCCATTTTTTTTGTTTGAGATGAGGGTGGATGAAGAATAAAGATTACTGGGTTTGGAGAGGGAGAAGCAAAAGGTTGCTTGCAGAAAATTTCGTTCGATTGAAGGTTTGGATGCAAGAAAGCGTAAAGAGTCCAACTAAGGCACTTAGTGCTATTTATAGTGATTGAAAAATCACAGGGCTCGAGGTCATTTAATGCCACAGACAAGAGTGTGGCACGTGGCACGCATTTGGCGCTGTAACCGTTCTGAAAAACGGAAATATTGCAGCGTGCTTCCTCGATTTCGGGGAATAGTCATGATGACAGCATATGAAAGGCCATCGTGCGTGCAAAGTGCCTTACTGAAGTGACCTCTTGGGAAAAGGTGAAATGATGACTTTTTGAGTTTGTTAGTTGGTTGATAGATGAAAAGCACACAAACTAATTTGTGGCTGAGAGTGAAGGATAGGTGTCGAATGGAATATCAAAGAATGCCTTTTTCTTTTAAGCGTCGAAATAAGACATTCTTGGGGGGCAATTTGTTGGCTCCTAAATTCGACACCCACATTTTATTATCATATAGATCATTAATTATGAGTCAGAAGAGTTTCCTACACAAGAAGGCTTCGACTAGCTGATCACGTCGAAGGCTCATCAAAGAATGACAAGATACTTAGAGAAATTCCTGTAAGTTGGAATCTTGTTGTCTTCGACGTCGAAGGAGCAACCTCTCGACCAAGGTCCCTGATGCCCGAGATCGAACGGTTTGAATTTTGAATTATTAGAGGGAAGACGGTTCCCCGTAGTTACCAAGCGCAACGTGTCGTGCACGTAGGCATCGAAGGTCGTGAGTGTGCCATGTGGTGTCATCACGAAGCGGTGTGACTGCCCAGCAGTTACTTAGGTATTTTTTAGTATAAATACTAAGTGTTCACGAAGTTATTAGTGTGTTCATCATTGTATACAAGTCACTCATTTAGATTCAAGTACCCAACATGAGAGAAAGAATCATTGAGAATGTATGTGTGAAACACCATTTACCTTAATCAAAATCTTTTATATTCAAGCAATTTATCGCTTTCACTCATTTACTTCAGTCAAAGTCATTTATTTAACAAACCTTTAATGCTTTTGTTTATTTTATCAAGCTTTTCTCCATGCAATTTATTTAAAGTGTCTCTACTTTACTTGCATTAATCACCATTAGGATTAGTCAAAACTCTTTATTTCAAAGCATTTAAACTCCAAAAATCAACCATGTCTTAGGATCAATCTGATCGATCCTGCGAGTCACCAAATAAGTAACCTTTTGGAAGATCAGCGGTTGTTTACCATTTTTCACGGTAAACAGTTAGGCCACCTGATTTTCTTTTCCCTTCAGACCCATATGTCCTCATCCTTCCAGCATTTTGGAGGATCAAGTTTTCCACATCCCACAAAGATGCCCTTATCCTTCCAGTATATTGGAGGATCTAGCACCCCACATCCCATACAGATGCCCTTATCCTTCTAGTAGACTGGAGGATCCAACACCCCACATCTCACACAGATGCCCTTATCCTTCCAGCAGACTGGAGAATCCAGCATCCCACATCCTATACAGACTAGAGGATCCCGCATTCCACATCCCACATAAATTGAAGGATCCCACACCTCCCATCCCACACATGTACTTGCACGTGAGGATGATCATGTTCATCTGAATGATGATGATGATAATCATGTGGATGAGGATGATGATGTGTTGGATGGAAATGATCTTCGAGGGAATGATGATCAGAGTGAGATTCATGTCATTGACGGGAAATTTTGGATTTGGCTCGAAGGAAACTCGTAAGTTTCTTATTTATAAATTTTTATTTAAGATAATACATTTTCATTTTTAATATAAATTTATATTTAATATTGCTAATTCAAATTATTATTGTTTAGTTTCTCGCCGAGTCGGACTGCTGCCAAGGTTATAAATTATACAATTCAGCAGATGTATAAACAATTTTGGAAGACCTTCAAAGATGTCAAAAATACAGAAGCTTGGTTTAACACATTTAAGGTATAATTAATTTGTTTTTTAGTTATTGTTATTTAAATGATTATTTCATTATAATTATCTAACTATTTATTTTAATATCATACAATATTGCAGGAAAAATATGTGTAGGACCCATTGAACGAGAAGATGATTAAAAAAATTATTATGGTAGAACCTTAAGACGACTTCCTGACATAATGCGGCGTGTTAAAGAGCGTTTGGAACTTCAGGGTATCCGTTCCAATTGGATAGGGAAAGAGGTTTATGAGGAACTTCTTAAATATTGGGAGTCATCCGAATTTCAGGCTAAATCTGAAAATTTTAAGATGATAAGGGCATCTGAAAAAAGGGGTTGCGTTAATGCAGTTGAAAGTATAAGTACCGCAGAGCATGTTCGACGCATGATAAATATTACCACTTTTTAAAGTTATATTATAATTCTTATTTTATTAATTAATGTTAATTTTATTATTTAGACCAAGAATTTGGGGAGACCTCCATTGATGACTGAGTTGGTTAAAAAGACTCGGACAAAGAAAATCGGAGATTTTATTGACGAAGGCACTCTAAAAGCTTTCGTAAGTTATTTAATTTACGTTGTTGTTTATATTTTTTTTAATGACAATTTTGTGTCGTGATTTTCACGTGACAACTGAGAAACTGTGACGTGAAAATCACGTGGCAACTTTTTAAATATAATATAATATAATATAATATAATATAATATAATATAATTTATTAAATATTTAAGTTGATTTTTTTATTGAATGTATAGGAGTATTATCAGACATTGCTCGTAAATTTTCTAAGTCATAATCCTCAATATACTCCGGGAGGGGGAGAGCCGCTTCATCTAGATGTGGACTGTTATATTTGGGATCAAGTCATTGGCGGAAAAGGCCCTAACAATTGTTTTTTTGGTGGTGGAAGTTTGGCGGACACCTTGAGAAGTCGGGATAAAGCTCTATTTCAAAGAGTTAGAGATGGGGAAGGGGGGTCACGTCAACCAAATTTGACACCAGAACAACTTGAAACGTTAAGACAATTGGCGTTAAATAAGGCGAGACGCGAGTCAGCGCAACGTGTGGCGACGATGAAAGCCCAAATGGAGGCAATGGGGCAAGAGCAACAACGACAAATGGAGGTCATGGCGAAGAAGCAAGCTGATATGGAGCAACAAATGAGACAATTTATACAATATGGTTTGGTGGAAATCCAAACTTTCGTGGTCAAAAGTCGGAGGATGACGAAAACGAAGATAATTTTGACATGGACAATTATACCAACCAAGATGACCCGTAAACTTAATTTTTTATTTATTTTACTTTCAAATTTGAATTTGTATATCATACTAATTAATTCTTAAATTTATAATTTTAGTTTATTAATTTTATTATATTAAATTTAATATATTTAATTTATTATATATTGAATTTATCATTTATATTGAATTTATTAAATTGAATTTATATAAAAGAAAAACAAATCCAGTTATTAAATTAAAAAAAAAAAGAAGAAAACATTAGTAACATGATTTTCACGTCACAAGTTGTGACGTGAAAATCACGTCGCAACTTCATTTTTATATATAAAAAAACAAATATTGAATACGTAAGAGGTATTAACCGTAATTATTTAGTGACGTGATTTTCACGTCACTAATTTGTGACGTGAAAAATACGTCGTAACTAAAGTAACTTTAACCCTACTTTTCCTGCAGTGCTGTATTTCCTATAAAAGTTTATTACGATGTGATTTTCACGTCACAACTTTGTGACATAAAAATCACGTCGCAAGCTATTTGTCACATTCTCTCCAGCCACGTGAACGTACACATTGCAAATAATTTGTAGTGACGTGATTTTTCATATTGTGACGTGAAATTCACGTCTCAAATGAGAGTATTTTTTAGTGTTATTTTATTGAAATTTGTTTAGATATCAAGATTTTAAAAAATCACTTAAATTTGAAGCTATTTCAAATAGCTTTTCGTAAAAATCATTTTTGAAATACAATTTTTTTTTTTTGAAAATATTACGATTTTGATTATATTTTGATCTTCGATAATGTGTGTTTATATTATAGGATGTCAAAATTAGTTTTTCAAATTAAAAAAAATTTAAAAAATTTAAAAAAATTTTAAAACATTTTTAAAAATATAAATATATTTTTTTAAGTTAAAACAATCATGTCATAAATATTCAAAATGAAAATTTTCTCTTAAATATTGATCACAAATTCTTATTTTCCCTTTGTTACGCCAAATAACAAATTGAGAAAATAGTAGCTAGGTCTAATTCATGAACGACAAACCTTAAAACTCGAAAAATGCAAATCTCAATAGATCTGAAAACAATCCAAAGATCAAAAGATAAGATGCCAAACTTGCACCAGAAACACAAACATGCGAGTGTGGCAAAACCACAGTCGTTAAGTAGATCCATCGGTAAAGACGACAGAAGTTTCGGTAGCGGAGAATTGAAAATAACCACGTAAACGCCGACGAAAAATAAACCACTGCCGCGAACCACTCGCCTCCGGCATGGTAAAAGGAAACCCATCAAAAGGGGTTTGATGGTGACGCGGCCAAGATGACCGATCGCACCACCACATATCCGAGGTTTCATAAGTAAAGCTACTCCAGATTTGAGGAGGAAAAAAGATGAAGCTTTTAGAGAGAAAGCACAGCGCTGATTTTTTAAGAGAGAAGTTAGGGTTTCATGACCCATTAATTATATTACTGCAGTATATATAAAAGTACTTGGGGCCATGAGAAAAATAAGAAAAATAAAAATAAATGACTAAATTAACAAACTATATATAGCTAGTGATGGATCCTTAGTCTTTGTGATCTTGATTTACGTACATCATCAATAAGCGCATCACGAGCAGTAACAATCAATGCATGAGGAACAGATATTAATGCATTAAACGTTGTATAATCAACCCATTCCTTCAGCTTCGGTTCCTTCTCCCAATTTTCTGGTATCTTAACCTCTCCCTTCACTTCTTCTCTATGCCTCTTCAACCTCTCACGCCCTGTAATCTCCTCAACCCTAGTACCATTCTCATTATTCTCTTTCTCTTTGCTCTCATCACCATCATCATTGCTTGTTTTATAGGAAGAGTTGCACTTGAGTCTGTGATCATTTTGCTGAAGGGACAATGAAGTTTGAATATGGCAAGTGGGGTTTCTCGTCTTCCATGTTGAGGTGCTGTGGATCAACTTGTTTTCTTGATCCATACTTGAACCAAAAAAGAAGAAGATGCTTAGTTGTTTATCTCGAAGAGGAGCTTGAAGTATTATTTAAAAGACGTGAGGTACAAGGAGATTTGAGTGGGGGATTTATGGTACACGTCATACAAATGATGTTGTATGGCATGTAATGTTACTACGTTTATGGAAGGGTCTTCAAGAAAAAGATTGTGTGGTTTAGTTCTTATGTACGTAAGCAAGAAAAGAGATTTTATGTTTAGGTAGAGTATAGAGTGGTTTCTAACCTTAGGGTTTTGTGAGGTGGAAGTGCAATATGGAAATGTATGTGAAGTTATTATAGCTTTTTGACTAATTATAGTTGTCCTTGGTTTTCATTGGCATATTGATTTAATGAGAAAGACGTGGACATACCCCGAACTAACTAGATATTTCTCATATTTGTCCTCTAGTCGATCAAGCAAAATACACTACTACCAAACAACTTTATCTAAATTAGGACAATGTTTAGTGAATAAAAAGGTAAAAGCACCCCTACTCTTGATATGACTCTCCCAGCTTGTTTTCTTCGGTTGATACGATCCTTTGACTAAAGCATTCCTACTGATTTTATATCTACCTTGATCTTCTATATCATGGTTAGGCATTTTGACTTGAGTTAGCATGTGTTGCTCATGACATATTATGTATGCTCTCTTGAGCTTATTAGCTTGCTTGCTTGATTTCATCTTTGTGTGCATGTTTTGAGATGATATACCCTCGACATGTTCCCTTAGGAACTCTTGATTCACCTATAGATGATGATTTGAGATAGACATAATTTTAGGTGATAGACCCTTGCTATGCTCCTTCAGGACTTCTTGATTCATCTATAGATGATGATTTGAGATAGACATTAGGATTGTTATCCAAGTATGTCAACATAGGGTAGAGATTTCCCTTCAAAACTCAACCTTAAGGTCAATCGTTGTATGATAACATTAGGGATAAATCTAGGTCAGTCTCCCTTAGATGTTTTCTTTCTGTTGCAACCTTGCATTAAGACAAAAACTCTTTTTCTTGGCAAATTCATAAAACACTTAACAACTTTCAAATCCTTTTTTAAGGTAAAAGCTATCAATCAATACAAACTTTTTGCGTCTTCGGGCTTTTCTTTCAAATTTTTCAGAAAGAACATGTTAAATCACTTATGTGCTGACGCGTGAGTCTCCAAAGGTCGAGCTGAGACAAAAAGCGAAATTAATACTGTTCATTAAAAAATACAAACCAACAGAAACTATTGAGCCGAACTACGGTAACTCTGATTCCTCAAAAAGGATACGTAGGCACTGGGGTAGGGCCCAAGAGAGCACAACTTTTTATTTTCCCTACATTATTTTCTCTTTTTTCTTTTGCATGCATTCCCAGTACAACTTAGATCTAGATTCTTACACATCCTTTGATTAGAACAACAAGAGTGGATACCGTAGAGTACTACAGGCGTGTGGGGTGCTAATACCTTCCCCTCGCATAACAGACTCCCTTACCTAAATCTCTTGGTCGTTCGACCTTGATTTTACCCTTCTCAGGTTTAATCGATGTTTACCTTTTCCTTCCCGTGTGATAAAAAACGTTCAATAGTGACTTCATTGATTTCATTATCAGTTGATTATTCAGCCAATTGTTTCAGCTGACGACTTCAATGGGGAAATATTGACCTATTGCCGGTCCATCCCGAAGTCGATCTTATCTCTTGTTTGTTTACTCCTTTAGGTGTTTATTTATTTCCAGTTATTTACAGCTTTATATATACTGCTTGCATATATTTGTGCATGCATTTATTGCTTTCCATATTGGTTATCTGCTGTTCTGGATCTGTTTCCCTGTTGGGTGGGTGTTACTATAAGGTAAAAGGCCCAATACCCAGGTCAAGTGACAACCATAGGAACCCTAGGAATAGAGTGGAACATGAACGACTAGTTGACTTAGGTTTCACTATTGCCGTCGTGTCATTTACGCTCAGATGAGGTAAAAATGAGGGGCTATCATTTTCATGTAGGTGATATGGCGATAGTTTTTCAGGAGTACCCATTCTGGGTTATCCGACCTCACCCTAACCTAGTTTTCACCCGTGAGTGGGGAGGGACTTGATTATCACAAGTACAAATGGTGACTATTTGTTCTGATGGTGACCGTATGTTCTATTGGTGACCTGGTTTTCTTTGGTTATATTCTGGACCTTTGATCCTGATATATTCAATTTGGTCAGAGATTATACAATAATTATTCATGGTACTTGGTTCGGTTGTGTTCTAAAATTTGTGTCGAACCTTTGATCCTATGATATTTGGATTATTCAACAGATTTATACAGCAGTTATCCAGAGTTATACAGTTTCTATGCTAAACTTTTGAACGTATAGTTTTGCACTTGCATCATAGCATATTTACATTTTACAAAAGAAATGTGTAAAAAAATGTATGCATGAAAAAAGTTAATACACGTGTTCTTTCCATTTCCAGGGAATCGTGCTTGTGAACATTATGTTCTATTTATCCATATTTTACTGAATCGAAATTGAAACCAAAAGCATGCGGGTTCCTTGAAAATGATTGAAAATGGCATTGCATCCACACATTCACCTCATACATCTTCATGCATCAATAACAGTTACTCATAGGGGGGGATTCTTATTCAGGCCTGGTATTCTTTTTAGAATTGGAAATCTTGAATTCTCACTGCTCCGTTATTCGAAAAAGCCATGGAGTGACTTCATGGGGAATTGGGTGAGATGAAAAATTAGATGGGGCTGTTTATTGGAGATTTACAAGCAATGGCCTATAGTCATAAATCCTTAAGGGGAAAATATAACTAGTTGAAGACTCAGTTGAGTCAGCTATATAAGTTTTGAATATAATGTTAGCAAAGGAAAGTGATCTTGTATATGTTGTTGCAACAAAAGATGTCATTCGTCCCCATCTTATGGGACATTTTTCAAATAGAGGGATACTTTGTGGGTCTCACCTAGAACTTTGTGTTACCGGATTCTCTCGTCAACAACTAGTTTCTGGTCTTCAAGTGAACCCATGGGGAAAAGCTTATCAGCAGAGGTAGAAAAAGCTTGAGAAGCATGTTGATACAATCTCTATACCTTGTATCCATTTACTTCCTCATGTGTTGGAAGCTCAGTTGATTAAACTTTGTGGTTTGGGTCCTCCTCCCACGGATTTCTCTCCTGATTTCAATGTAAATTCTAGACGTGTCTCCCATTCTAGGGCACTTGGTTATGATATGGAAGACTGCAAGGGTTGAAGTATGAAGTCCTACACTTGTCTGGCTTCTTTACCAAGGTTCAGTCCATGTTTGGAAAATTGTTCCAGACTCTTTCTCCTCAACTGAGTGCTTCTTATGTGTAATAGAAGATGAGGTGATGCTTATGTGATGAAGAAGCATAAGATTCCTAGTTCTTGGACATCTGCTGTTGTGTAGAAGAAAAATACCTCAAAGGTCGAATTCTACATTCAAAGTTTAGTTTCTTCTGTGTAGTAGAAGATTCTTGTTACAGTTGCTGGATTTTACTTGTGTAGTAGAAGACGAAGATTCTTTTGTGAAGAAGGAGATTCCCAGGAATTCAGTCGCTAAAACTTATCTTTTGTGAAGTAGGAGATGGAGTTTATTTCCTTCTGTGTAGTAGAAGATCCTTTGGTATGGTTGCTAGATTTTGCTTATGTGTAGTAGAAGACGGTGCTTATTTTGTGTAGTAGGAGATGCTCCGGAATTCAGCGGCTGATTTTCTCTTATGTGTAGTAGAAGATGGTTGGCCTTGCTTCTCTATAGTAGAAGATATGTTGTGATGCAACTCATGCAAATCCCTTTGATAAAGAATTCATCACAACTGTTGAGGGAATCTGATGTGATTACCATGTCCGGAAACTTGGCCATTCAACTGAAGGTTGTAAACCATTCAAAGATGAGGTGCAAGACCCGTGTGACACAAAGGCTATCATTCTTGCACCAGTTGGTCAGATTTGAAGTCTCCTTTGATTCATTGAATGTCAAGACTGTTGGAGCATCGTCTGAAGAAACAAGTCCATACAGAGACTAGTCTCATGAACCCAGCAATTTCAAATCACATTTGCATTATCATTTTTAATCTTTCTTGTTTGGTTCAGTACTTTCTTGTACCCAAAACTTGCTTATTTTTTAATATTAATCATAATGCATTGAATATATTTGTCTTGAATTTATCCATTCGTATTCACTCATTAATGTTTTTTCTTTGCTTTTTGATACTTAACTCTTTTTAAATAAAGCAAAATATCTCTGAGGGAGGATGATGAGTAATATGCCAAAAATTTCAAATGGTGTACTTTTGAATAAAAACCCTGCTGACGATGTACATACATTGTTTCAAATTCCCAAACATCGGAGATATAAGGGAGATAGACCCTCGTTAACCCCTTTTGAGCCTTGAAGTAAGATTTTTTTTTCTGTTTAGAAAAAACCCTCACATTTAACCCGGGGCAAGGTAGATTTCAGTTAATCTGATCGAGCGTTCATAACTCATCAAGAGTGCGCATCTAAGGATATGTCAATGGTTATCCTTTAAAAGGCTAAGGAAAGTCAAAATCACAATGGTTAACCCTCATCTATTAGCAGCGTGCATCAAAGAGAATGATATCCCAATGGGTATCTCTTGCAAGTCAGGAGGTCAAAAGACGAGGATACCACAACGTTTATTCCTCGTCAACCAAACAATAAGGTAGTTACACCTTTTCAGCAAGTCGAAAACAACTCAAAGTCACACGACGTGTTCAAAAAAGAAGAATGTTTAAAAATGATGAAAGAAAGAGACAAAAAGTCCCGCTAAGTGGAAACTTGAAAAAATAAGTCGCTTAGGAAAAAGTCAGGGCATCCCGTTGGACTTCAGAGTAAAAATCAAAAAGAATTTTTCCAGGCAAAAGTTAGGGAAAACAAAAAGAAAGCGAAAAGAGAAAAAGGATTACAAAAAAAATCCTTAGCAAAGAACAAAGTCGTGTGATCAGACACCA